CAAAACATGCGGTCTACGCAGGTAATGAAATTAAGCAAACATGCGGTCTACGCAATCAAAACATGCGGTCTACGCTGGTAATGAAATTAAGCAAACATGCGGTCTACGCAATCAAAACATGCGGTCTACGCTGGTAATGAAATTAAGCAAACATGCGGTCTACGCAATCAAAACATGCGGTCTACGCAGGTAATGAAATTAAGCAAACATGCGGTCTACGCAGGCAATACATGCGGTCTACGCAAGTAACGTAATTAATCATAAGCATGCGGTCTACGCAAGGAAAACATGCGGTCTACGCAAGCAAAACATGCGGTCTATGCAAGTAATGGAATTGAACAAATATGCGGTCTACGCAATCAGAACATGCGGTATGCGATGAGATGCGCAAAACTGCGCGATTGAATGCATGCAAAATGCAATGAGATGCGCACAATAGCGCGATGCGTTTAGACAACGCGAGTGCACAAGACAGTGCAATTGATTTGAAATGCACAAGACAGTGCGATTGCTTTGAAATGCACAAGACAGTGCGATTGATTTGAAATGCACAAGACAGTGCGATTGATACGCGATGCACATGGGGCAACTTTTGAATTTTGTAAAAGCCAAAAGGATACGAAAAGGATACACCTTGCACGAATTCGAGTGTCACGCACAGAAAACACGGCCCGAGGTTAAAACGGAGGCCGGTTGAGCGTCAGAAATGCACTGTTTTGCACTATTTCGAGCACTAAAGGCCCTGGACCCCACACATGACTCAAACAAAGGTGTAGGAGGCTCCAAAATCACTGTAGAAGACCACCGGATGTCCACCGACCATCAAAATAAGTCACCGGCCGTCCATCGGCACTGATACAATTCCATCGGCACAATATTTTGCCGACCGGCAAAGAATGTTGCCGACCGGCAAAGAATGTTGCCGACCGACAAAGAATTGCTGAATCGGGACAGTTCTGTCATTTCGGCTCGGGTGTTTTAAAATAGGGTTTCTAACCCTATTTTTTCACTTGCCTCTAGTCGAAAATTGTCTCTCTCTCTCTCTAGAGTGTTTTCCCCCCTTGATTCTCGCCTTTTCCCGCGTTCTAGCTCCCGTTTCGTCGTTCGATTCGCGATCTCCTTCGCGTTTCGGACATTTTCAACCGAACAAAACTTCATTTCGGTGTTTCTTTCTTGATTTTCGCCACTCGGGGCTTGTTTCCCTTGAGTTTTTCTCGATACCCGTGCCTTTTTCGTATTCTGACTTTTCTGGCCTTTTTCGACCCTCCCGGGGTTTGATTTTTTGTTGACTTTTCGACTTCTTGCCCGTTTTTTCATCTTCCGGTCATTTTCACACCCCCTTCGAGATGGCGGACGATCTCCCATAGGGCGGAGCCCCTCCCGAGCTCGAGATGGACCCCGAGGTCGAGCCCTTGCTACTCCGTGTTCGGCCATTCGATCCGGAGACCTACAGGCCCGCAGTTCACGTGATGCTCCCCGACGGACTACGCCAGTTCAGGAGCTTTGACAGGCACGTGCCTCCTGAGCTACTACTACGCGAGCCTACCTCCCACCTGTCCTTCGGCGCTTCCGAGGTAACTTTCTTTCTCTGCTTTACTTTCTGCAATGTAGGATGCAAAACTGCCGTAGCTAGTTATGCTCTTTAACTGCTTATCTCTGATATGCTGTATACTGTAGTTAATCGTAGACATACGTGTAACTGATATCTGTTTGAGACTGACACATGCACACACACTGCACTGGCCCCGAATCACCCGAACACACGGCGCACACTGTATTTCACTGCATACACACTGGTACCCGGTATTTGTTTGAATCTGAAAACATGCACGCATGCCATATGCCCATATGCTTCTTAGAACTGCATTTTGAATATTGCCTTGCAACTGTTGTTTTTGACTACAGGGAGATTCCCATACCATTCGCGGGTATGGGAACACCGGCGCTCGGGACTGGTACCTCGAGCTACCAGATGCGGTCCGCGACATCGTCAACGAGGCCGGCTTTGGCATCTTCTGCATGGGGCTCTCTCGGCTGACTACCTGCAGGCCTTTGCTCGCTGCTCTAGCGGAGAGGTGGTGGGATACCACCGATTCCTTCCACTTCTCCATCGCAGGGGACATGACGATGACCCCTTACGACTTCTCGATGCTTACTGGCATTGGGGTAGGGGGTGATCCGATCCCCTTTGACATGGATATGGACGAGTGGGACGCTGCCCAGCTGTACCTACTCGGTACTCAGCCTCCCCTCGCTCGAGCGGGGTTTATCCGGTATTCGTGGTTTGAGAGTCACTTTCGGGTCCAGCCGGCTTTGGCAGAGGAGGCACAGATGTCTCCAGAGGAGGTGGACCAGTATGCTCGGGGCTTCATCATGTTCCTCTTCGGGATGACACTCTTCGCCGATCGAGCGAACACCGTGCCCTTGTGCCTGCTGAGCGCGCTGGTGGACGTCAGGCAGATCCGCCATTACGACTAGGGTGGCGCCGCTCTGGCCACTTTGTATGGTTATATGAGCTCCTCTTCCCGCCTCAGCGGACAGCTCCTTGGTGGCTACTGGCGAGCCTGGGAGGTACGTCTTCTTCCCTTTTTACATTTCTGTCTTCTGCTTTCTGTATTCTGCACACTGCACATATACTGTACACTGCCCCACACTGACTGTATACTGCACACCCGGCACACACATACTCTGCTTTACACTAACTGCACATTGTTCATACTGTACACTCTGCACAATACACTGCACAACACATGGTTCAGCCATTTCTGCTTTATTCTGTATTCTGCCTTATCTGATAGTCATACTGACATCTATTCTGCAGTTGTGGGTGTATGCCTACTTTCCTAGGCTTGCCCCAGTGCCCGTTGA